TGAATAGCAGGAGCACCAGACCTGATATGGCAGCAGTATCTCGTCTGGATATAAATAAATGGAATATCTTTTGATGATATTGCATAAATTACGTAATAAGGTTTTGATGACGCCCGTGCCTTTTTTTGTGGCCGAAGTTGTCATGCGTTTCTCACTGGCGTCTGTGGTTAATGTTCAGACAGACGAATACATCGCTTCCATTTTCTCGATTTTTTAATAATTGTCTTCACAAATTTTAGCTGGAAAAAAGAAAGAAAAGAAAAAAAAAGAGATAAAATAAAAGTGAATAGTCACAGTTGTAAGAGATTAAAAAAAAGTTGTATTTTATCAGAATTTATAACTAGTCATGTCCCGTTGGCATCATTAAACGATAGCTTTTTGATCGTCAAATTTTAACAGACGCATCGACGTGAGCGGCCCCTTAAGGCATGAAAAAAAGGCGGGATATACTTTGATTATAATGCGGTTTTTAATTGTCCTCGTTATCTTTAGCAATATTTTAAAGTAATCTTCACATTCTTTCAATTTAATCTATGCTACAACTAACACCAGCAGAAAATGGCCTTTTGTGAATTATCTGCTGTACAATATATATATATATATATATATATATATATATATATATATATATATATATATCAAATATGTAGTGCTGTTCAATTTATATTACAATGAATCATTGATACAAAAATATATTAGTAAAGTTAATGATATAAAATGTCGAAATCTCATCGCTAACAAAATTTTAAAAATGCATTAATCCACTAATCACTCGATGAATGTTATGATCCTTGTTTTTAAAATTATAAGCTGTATTAGGTCTTTCTTTAATACGCAAGTACTTTCGACTGTACATTTAGTCATCTTCAGACATGGAAATTTTTTTGTTTTTGGTAAAATTCAGGTAGCATCCGAGACGAAAAATATAATGTGAATCAAAATATGTTTTTATTTACTTTTTTTTTAATGTGTTATTGATTACGGATACAAACTTGTGGGTACGTGCAGTTGCAATGCTAAGGTTGAATTTTTTGAAAATTTAAGTGAATGTTTTTTTTTTACTAATATGGCAATTCGAGAATTTTTTTGTTGTCGGAGTTTTTCGGTCAATGTGGCATGAACTAAATTGTTCAATAAATAGAGTAATGTCTCAGTTGTTATCCCGAAATTTTGCACGTCGGATCAGTTCTTTTAAGTCAAATATTTTATATCATTAACTTTACTAATTTACTTTTTGTATGAATAATTCATTGTAATATATATATATATATATATATATATATATATATATATATATATATATATATATGTCATTAACAGACAGTACTATTTCGCGGTATCAGTGCGACCAGACATCCGAATGCCTCAAGCCAGGATCGAAACCCAACCGATTTGGTGTCTTGTCAGAGCTTCTACCACTGAGTTATCTTCACTCGGAAGAGTTACACAGCTAAATCTAGCTTATTGTTTTTACGAATATAAACAAATGCTAATCAGCCAAAGTGCTCCATTCATTTTACTGAAGAGCTTTGCATTAGCGCAAGTGGCTGTTGTTTATAGAATTAGCTTATCACTCAACAGTGCTCGATTGAAATATATTTTCAATGCTTATTTTAATAGCTATACTCGACTGGTATTAAAAAAATACCCGGATAATACAATTATGCAAATAAAAATATATTTAAACAAACTGGTATCTAAGGGAAAAATCGGAAAAAAAGAAAAAACTAAAATAATCCGAGTAGGTCTAAAAAAAATCACCAAATGCTGTAATGCTTAGTAAAAAAAAAAACAAAAAAAAAACAATTGAGTAAAATAAAATTGGATTAACGAACCAAACCCCAATCGAGTAAAATAGAATTAGATTAACAAATATAATATTAAAAATAACCAAATTACTAAACGTTCTAAATGTAACTGCAGAGATAAGGCGTCCTGTCCGCTTTAGAGCAAGTGCCAGCATGAATGAGTAGTTTACAAAGTGGAGGTATACAGAAATAAACCTAGTAGTAGTCGTGAGAACAAAAAAAGTTCATATTGGTTCTACTGAAGGAAGTTTTAAAAAGATACTATAATCACATAAGCATTTTCAACTATGAAAGTTATAGACATAATACCAGCCTATCTAACCACATATGGAATATAGAAAAGAAGGAATCGACCCGAGTTTAAAATGGGAGACAATGAAGAAATGTTATAGATATAAAGCCGAGAACAGGTATTGCCTCTTATGCACGGAGGAGAAACGAGACATAGATACTTTTAGTAAAGCGGATATGTTACATAACCAAAGATCAGAAATCCTTAATGGGTATAAACATAAGAATACCGGAATAAAGAATAGTAATTAATTTTAAAATCCATTAATTTCATTTGTGTTTTCTTTTTTAACGTCGTTCGGTTTTATGCAAATTTTAGTTTTTAGCGTTTGTTTTAACCAATAAATAGGTTCCTTTGTCATATCCTCTTCGGCCAATTCACCCTGAACATCCATTTAGGTGAAACCTAGGTAAGTAGTTTCTGGGTCACTAGGATTATATATATATATATATATAAACAAAAACTTTTGTTGGAACCAACGGACAACTTGCCAAAACCTAAAACTCTTATTTAGATAGTCTCGAATAAAACTGACAATACTGATAAAAGAAAGAAAAAAAAAAGCCCAAAATGCAAGCTTACCTACTCAGTAAAGTGCTCGAGGTCTAGATTGCCTAGACCGAGCAAAAAACGCTTACCAAAATTAATTCCCATAAGAGGATTTCTCTAGTCATGACTGGAGCTTTACGATAACGTGATTTTCAGACGAATTGAACGATATATATATATATATATATATATATATATATATATATATATATATATATATATCTGCATGAACAGAAAGACAGATGTATTGGGTATATAATCTAGCTAATTTCATTTATATTCTTTTTTTTATGGTTCCATCTCTTTTGTTATTAAATATCGTCCCACATTGTGATAATAGAAGATCTGCCAAAAACAGCGAAATGTAAGAGCCAGAATTTACGGGGGCTGATTTAGTGATTTTATGTCGATTAATTTTATTGATCGTCTTTTCCAAATTACAAATAATCCTTCTCAGACAAGGAAAAGATTCCGTCAAGAATTGGCCAAAGTTCATTTTGGACGAAAAATGGTAAAAGTAATTTGGTCCGAGATTTTGATTTTTTAAGTCATCATCAGGGTAGGTAGGTAAATTTGTGAGTTTAATGAAATTTTATAAATGTTCACGAATGTATACGAATAACAAATGTAACCTAGTCTACATGACAATACAGCGCCATCTACCGTACACGTACTTTAAAATTAATAACTGAGAAACGAAGTATTTGCGGATATATGTTAAAATGGATTTTTGTTCTTGTTTTCGTGTGAGGAACCCGCCACCAAAGTATTTAGGTGTAAAAGTACATGCTTAATTCGAAAATAACAAAGAAATTTTGATAAAATCTACCGTTTTGGAGTTATCGACAATAGAATTTCGGACTGATTCGCGTCGTGGCAGCCATTACTGACGTTGTTTGCATATATTTGCTGCAGAGTTAACATTAGCTTGTCTTAATGATTGCGCACGCAATAAGCCCTCAGCTTCGCAGTAATAGAGACAAGTAAGAGCAGTAAAAAGGCTGTTAACAAGGTAATCTTCCGCGCAAATCTAATCAGCATTGAATGTATGCAAACAATGCCAGTAATGGTTGCGTGCCATAACGCAAATGAATCCGAATATCTATTGTCGATAACTCCAAAATGGTAGATTTTATCAGAATTTCTTTCTTAGTTTTGAATTAAACATGTAAATTTACACCTAAATATAAATATTCGGCAAATTTTTATTAGATACTTAGCGCGGGGCTTAAAAAGCAAATTGCCTATATATATATATATATATATATATATATATATATATATTAATCATTTCACTCTAAGCAAGGCAATAAAGCCACTAAGATACAAGGAGTTACTGAGTGTGATACAATATAAGAAAAAGAAAACGTTATTAAAGATAGAAAAAAATAAAAGAATAGGAATTAAGAAAACAGAAGATGACATTGCATTTAAATCTTTGAAGATTAAATTTGACTGTAAAGCAAAAAGCCGGAAGAGAATTTCACAAGCGGGATATGCAAGGGAAGAAACTGTTAACATAGAACTTACGGTTCTATCTAGCTGTAAAAAAAAATGATAAAGATGAAATAAAAATAATTAAGTTCAAGGATCGTGTTTTGATATATTCGTCTCTGAAAGTGGAAATTATTTATGAGTAAAAAGTAATATATATATATATATATATATATATATATATATATATATATAAGGTAATGAAGCGTTTGGTAATCCTTGTGGATAATTCCAAAAGAGGATGTGACACAGAGAGCTCAATGTAAAACCTAGAGCAAATATTAAATAATTAAGAAATAATCAAACTTAAGTTTCCATGACTATAATTTATTTCCCCAGAAAAAAATATTTTTCCTGCTGCTACAGAACTAGAGATGTGACCTGATGAACCAAGGAAATATATTTCTGGTGAAATAAATTATAGTCAAGGAAACTTAAGATTGTCTATCTTTTAATTATTTAACACACACACACACACACACACACACACACACACACACACACACACACACATATATATATATGAATGAGATGATGTGTCGTAATACTTTGTTATTTACAACGGCCGAAACTTCGTGTAAATGAGAAGTGCAGTGTGAACAATGTAAATAATATAATATATATTTATATATATGTGTGTGTGTGTGTGTTTGTGTGTGTTTGTGTATGTGTGTGTTTTTTACTAATTTTAGTCAATCCTAATGTAAATTTTAAGATATTATTATTAATCTCATTTGTTCTTTTTTTTTATTATTTATTTTGTAACATTTTTTAATTTTAATTATATCTTATTAAAATGATTTGCATACTTCCGGTCCAGTAACGGTAATATTGAATTTTGCTTTTTTTTACAAAAATTATTTTCTTTTTTCCCATCTCTCTTTCAAGAGGTCACCTTTCATCGTATACCGGCCAATAAATAAAGAAATCATAAAAAACGGTTGTATTTGTGTGTGTGTGTGATAGAGAAAGACAGAAAGAGATATCGAGGAGTAAAGAGGGAAAGAATCAAGATTGAGAGAATGTGAGAGAGAGAGAGAGAGAGAGAGAGAGATAGAGAGAGAGAGGGGGGAAAGCCGGCGGTAGAATTGAGAAGATTTTGAGATTGGCAGATAAAAGAAAAAACAAAAACGTGAAAGAAAATGAAAACTAAGGGACAAACAAATCTGTTGGCGTGGAATATTATGTATATTTATTAATATATATTAATAGCTATGTTATTTTGCATTGAGAACTGTTTTATTTACACCAAAGGACATATATATATATATATATATATATATATATATATATATATATATATATATATATATATTGAATCGTGCATGATTTTTTACGAAGGATATTCTTCTGACTTTGTACTTTGAGTCTTTCTGTTTCTTTCACATTTGATTAATCTTGTGCTCAACTGACCAAACCTTTTCAAATTGCATCAAATATGCTTATGATACGCGCCTCTACGGAATCAGTGATCCACAAATTTGCAAATAATGCCGCTTTATAGCTGGCAAGAATGTACAGTCGTTTGCAAGTGGAACATACCCAAGATTCGAGCTACGACTTGGAAACATCAAATTGAAGCAATTACAAAGCAATGTTAACAAATGATAGCAAATGTGACACCGAAATCCGAAGCATAATCATTTAAAAATTCACACAAATAATTAAAGAATTTAAAAAACAGGAATATTTCTTTTCAAGAAAAGAGTACTGAATTGTTTTTTGTTATATGAAATTGAAGAGGTATGTCTTTTATTGATTGATTCATTTTTGTAGTTTATTTAAAGTTAGAAAATATTTTTAGATTTTAAAAATTATTTTTTGGATATAATAATGATCTGGTGATACAAGTCTTACTAATTAACCCATAGCTGGAAGGGAGAAGAGGTGGATTCATACCATTCCTGAAAGTATTTTATGCGCAAGGGAATATAACGAACCCAATTGGAACACAGCTCTCCGTTTAACAATTCCCAGACATTATCCATTACACCACCCGCACATCCAAGCTTACAGAAACTGGTATTTCCGAGGAGTCACCCATCTATATACTGAGCAGCCTCAAAATTGCTTAACTTTGGAGATCGTACTAGAATCGGTGTTTCAACGTGATATGACTATAAGGCATACCACCTGCACTTCCAAGCTTACTGCACCAGGTATTCACAAGCGGTCACACATCTATCTAGTGACCAGGCTAGACGTTGCTTAACGTCGGTGATCGTACTAGAAGCGGTGTTTCAACGTGATATGACTATAAGGCATACCACCTGCACATCCAAGCTTACAGCATCCGGTAGTCACAAGCGGTCACCCATCTAGGTTGTGAACAGGCTAGACGTTGCTTAACGTCGGTGATCGTAGGAAACCGGTGTTTCAACGTCATATAACTATAAGGCATATAACCTGCACATCCAAGCTTACAGCAGCCGATATTCACAAGCGGTCACCCATCTATGTAGTTATCGGGCTAAACGTTGCTTAACGTCAGTGATCGTACTAGAATCGGTGTTTCAACGTGATATGACTATAAAGCATAACACCTGCACAATCAAGCTTACAGCACACGGTATTCACAAGCGGTCACCCATCTATGTAGTGACCAGGCTAGACGTTGCTTAACGTCAGTGATCGTACTAGAAGCGGTGTTTCAACGTGATATGACTATAAGGCATACCACCTGCACATCCAAGCTTACAGCATCCGGTATTCACAAGCGGTCACCCATCTAGGTTGTGACCAGGTGAGACGTTGCTTAACGTCGGTGATCGTAGGCAACCTGTGTTTCAACGTTATTTGACCGTAAG